AACAGGGACAAATTACATGAAACAATAATTTTCAAGACTAGTGGACATCAAGTAATGAAATATAGTGATCCCTTCAGAATATTAAAAAACAAACAAACAAACAAACAAAACAATGCCTTGCTTATTGCTTTGCGAGTTTCAGGCTGTGGCATTGGAAGGGGATCCTGCTAAAATTCACCACATTATCTATGTTATGGAGATGGAGCTGGGAGTCTAGAGAGACCAAGGTAACTAAAATTCACAGGACAGACTATCATACATGACACAGCTACATGGAGAGAAAACTGTGGAGATCGGCAGGATGCTGCTATCAAGTATTTAGCAGAGCACTCATGAGTTCATGTGAGTAAGAAACTCTTAAGACCAGGAAAAGAACCACCAGAAACGATCAGAGGACCAGTCCTCACATTTTACACAGGGTTAAGAGTAATGTTAATTTCCACCACCCAGAGTAGAAAACCTCATGACTGACAGGGCAGAGGAGAGTGCTCAGCAATGACTTACATCAGCAGAGCAGAATTATTAGTTCTAGATTAAACTCAGTTTCAGTCCGAACTAATGAATCTTAAAAGCAATCCCTGAAAGGATCAAACTGTTTCCAAGTAACTTAACTGTGTCTCAGAACAAAGCTCAACAATATAGATAGGGATATAAAAATATCCAGTATCCAACTAGGCAAAAATTTTAAATGTCTGACATCCAATCAGAAATTGCGAAGCCAACAAAGAAGCTGGAAAATACTTCCCATATTGAGGAGGAAAAAAAAATCAACTAACCAAAACCAACTAAAAACAGACACAGATGGTAGAATTAGCAGATAAGAACATTAAAACAGTTATAACTGTACTCCATATGTTCAAAAAGCTAGAGGACAGATTGAACAGGTTAGGTAGAGACACGGAAGATATAAAACAGACTCATTAAACTTGTTCAGATGAAAGCTACAATGTCTGAAATGAGGTATACCTTGGATGGACTGGTAGGAATTTGACACTGTAAGAGAAAACATTAGTGAACTTGAAGATACAGCAAGAGAAACCATACAGAATGAAACTCAAAGAAAATAAACCACAAATGAACAGAGTTTGTGAACTATGAGACAACTTCAAATAGCCTAAAATTGCAAATGGAGTCCCCAAAGGGAAGGACAGAAATGGACTCAAAGAAAAGTATCTGAAGAAATAATGGGCAAAATATTTCAAAAATTGACTTGAAACTACAAACCCATAGGTCTAAGAAGTTCATGAAACTTCATAATGGTACATCATGATCAAATTTCTGAAAACCAGTTAAAAAAGGAATCACTTTAAAACAGGCACAAGAAAAAAAATATACATTACATACAAAAGGACAAAGAAAAGCACGATAATAGATTCTTGACAGAAACCATATAAAGTATCTTTAAACTATGAAAAGAAAAAAAAACTATCAAAAAAAAAAAAAGGAAAAGAAGAAAAAGAAAAGAAAAAAAAAAACCCTACCAACCTAGAATATTATAGACAGAGGGGTATTTTTATATTTCAGACAGGGGTACCTGGGTGGCTCAGTCAGTTAAGCATCTGACTCTTGATTGCAGCTCAGGTCAGGATCTCAGGATTGTGGAAATTGAGGCCTCTTTGGGCTCCACCTGGGCATGGAGTCTGCTTAAGATTCTCTCTCCCTCTCCTTCTGCTACCCCACCAAATATATATATATGTTTCAGGCATATCAAAGCTGAAAGAATTTAATTCTAGCAGACTCACATTTAAAGAAATGTTAAAGGAACCATTAGACCCTAAGGAAAATGATCACAGATAGAAATATGGATCTATAAAAAGGAATGAAAAGCATTAGAAATGGTAACAATATGAATAAATGTCATATTTTTGTTTTGCTTAAATCTCTGTAAATCCTAGTTCATTATTTAAATAAAAATAACAGTACAGTGTGCAGTTTGTAACAAGTAGAACTAAAATATATTTCAATAACAGAAATATTGGAAGGAAGAAATGGCAGTGCACATTTGTAAGGTTCTTGTATCTATCTGAAGCGGAAACATCACATAAAGATTTTGATATGTTGAAGATGCAGTCAGTAATACCAAAAATAGCCACTCAGTAGAGATACAGCTTCTAACTGACAATAGGAAATAAAACTGAATCATAATCCTGAATACTAATGTATTAGTTTGCTAAGGCTGCCATAACAAAGGTATGTACCAAACATTCAGTGGCTTAAATAATAGAACGTTATTTTTTTCACAATTCTGGAAGGTAGAAGTCTAATATCAAGGTGTTGGCAAGGTCCACTTTTTCTAAGGTTTCTCACCTCAGCTTGTAGATGGCTGGCTTTCTCCTGTGTCTTCACAAGTTCTTCCCTCTGTATATGTTTATGTCCTAATCTCCTCTTCTTATAAGGACACCCGTCATATTCGATTAAGACCCATCCTAATAACCTTAGTTTACTTTAATTACCTCTTTAAAGACTCTATCTCCAAATACAGTCTGAGGTTCTGGGGTTAAGACTTCAACAAAGAGGGGCGCCTGGGTGGCTCAGTGGGTTGAGCCTCTGCCTTCTGCTCAGGTCATAATCTCAGGGTCCTGGGATCGAGCCCCACATTCGTCTCTCTGCTCAGCGGGGAGCCTGCTTCCCTTCATTGCTCTGCCTGCCTCTCTGCGTACTTGTGATCTCTGTCTGTCAAATAAATAAATAAAATCTTAAAAAAAAAAAGATTAAAAAAAAAAAAGACTTCAACATAGATTTTGGGGGAACACAATTCAGCCATAAAAACTAATAATGAGAGAAAGGACATCACTTCAGATTCTAAAGATAATAAAATGATAATAAGGAAATACTGTGGTCCATGTTATGCAAAAAAAATTGGAAACTTAGATGAAAAGGACAGACTCTTTGAAAGAAACATGCTACCAAAGGTCACTCAAGAAGATATAGATAACCTGATTATCCTAAATCTAATAAATTTAATTTGTAGTTGAAAACTCCAGGTCCAGATGGCTTCAGTAGTAAAGTCTATCAAATATTTTCTAAAAATAATTTTAACTCTACATAAAGTTTTGCAAGATATTGAAGAAAGAATATATCCAAGCTCATTTCATGAGATCAGCTTACACTGACACAAAACCCAAGCAAAGACATTACAAGAAAATGTATTGCATGGAGCACTGGGTGTGGTGTATAAACAATGAATCTTGGAACATGGAAAGAATAAAATAAAATTTAAAAAAAAAAAGAAAGAGAAAGAAGTTACTAACCAATATACCTCAAGATAAAAATTTTAAACAAAATTTTAAATAAACCAATGATGTATAAAAAGAGTAATACATCAGGAACAATGCAAGAATGTCCATTCACATCTCTTCTGATCAACTGTATACTGGAAGTTCTAGTCAGTGGAAATAGATAAGATTAAAAAAAATTAAAGGCATGCAGGTTGGAAAGAAGAAAATGCCTTTATTCATTGACTATATGATCTTCTAAGTAACTAAGTTAAAAAAAAATTTAAAAAAATCTGCTGAAGTTGACCAAAAAGCTACTCTATTTAATAACTTAGCAAAGTCATAGCATACAAGATAATATACAAATACCTATGGCACATTTATGATAGTAACAAATAATAAAAAATTAACACTGGAAAAAACTATCATATACAATAGCATCAAAAAGATGAAATACTGGGGCGCCTGGGTGGCTCAGTGGGTTAAGCCGCTGCCTTCGGCTCGGGTCATGATCTCAGGGTCCTGGGATCGAGTCCTGTATCAGGCTCTTTGCTCGGCAGGGAGCCTGCTTCCCTCTCTCTCTCTCTCTCTCTCTCTCTGCCTGCCTCTCTGTCTACTTGTGATCTCTCTCTGTCAAATAAATAAATAAAATCTTTAAAAAAAAATGAAATACTTAAGAATAATTCTGACAAAAGATATGTAACATCTGTATGATGAAAACTACAAACTTTAATAAAAGAAATTAAGAAGGCCTAAATTAAATTAAGAGAAATATAATGTCCAGGGGTTAGAAGATACTTATTGTTAAGATGTCAGTTCTTGTAAAGGGATATATATGTTCAACAAAATCCCACCAAAAATCCCAGGAGGCATTTTTGTAAAAATTAACAAGATCATTCTAAAATCTATTTAAAAATGATGGATTTCCTGTATGTATTTACTGAGCACTTAGTATGTGACAGGTGCAAGGCAAAGAACTGGTAAGGAAAAGGGAAATTTATTACAAGGATATGGGGTGGTACTAGCACTCAAAGGCAGATATGCATTTGAACTTCATTTAGAAAGAAGTGGAATAGAGAACTGGAAACTTCCTGGAAACCTACAAAGTATTCCATCTTACTATATTCTTTTTGCAGACTGTTTACATTTTCCTCTTAGTAGATCGGCTTTTTCTACAACAAAACTTACTTGATTGAAGAGAACTACCCACAATTATATGTTATGGTTCTAGCTGTACTGAAAGACTGATTGTTACTGTTTTATCTCACTTCGAACTCTTACCTTAATTCCAAAGTCCTGATAGGGATCAAGTGTCCATCCTTGTCTTAACAGAGGGTCAGTTACCAGGGTCATTTAAAGTTGAGCAAATATTCCAGATGGTGACAGCAAATATTATCCACAATTTGTACAAGAGTAAACTAAGATTGAGAAGTATGAATTTATTTTCCCAAGTTCATGGGGTAGTGAGTGCCAGAAATGATATTTAAACTCTGGAGGCATGCAAGTGCAAAGTCAGCCCATGACAGTGAGTGCCTCCTTCAATCCTCTATTGTAGGAGCTTCACTCTGCTCACCCTAGTACCAGTACCAGCTCTGCTAATGTTTACAAGTTCCTTTCACTGGACATGTGTTCCTGTACTAGAGTGTGACACCTTCACAACTTTCAAAGAAATGAAGTATTAAAAAACTTTCATAGATTCAGATTACCAACATTTTTGAAGAATAATCATCTAATTTTGTATAAACAATTTGCCTCCAGAAGATACTACTAAAAGCACAAACTTACCCTCCCATTCTGTTGGGATATCTCCAACTTCATAGTCTACTTCTCTTTTATTTGCTGCTTCTACAATTCTTTTCTCTCGAATAGTTTGTCCTATAAGACAAAAGTGATTATTTTATTTTTAAATAAACTCATGACACAGCAGTTACCACAAGTAATATTTTCTCTTTGGAAACTGCACACCTCCACGTATGGTCAAAGAATTATCAGGAGAAAGAATAGATTCCATTAGAATTGGGTACATTAAAAAAAGCAAATTCTAAACTTAATACAGAAATTTTAAATTTCCTGCCATAGTGTACAATATTAATTTTGGTAGAAAAAAACTAGATGCTGTGTTAAAGAAAAAAAAAAGGACTAACCAATTAATCTTCAGCCACTAATGGCCAAAATTAAACAACAACAACAACAACAAAAGCCCCATTTTAGCAATCAATGGTGTTCAAGTCCTTCAAATTCTGCGAGTATGTGTATTAGAGGTTCAAGTGGCTGCTGCTACTGCCCAAGGAAATTGTATTCATGGCCTCTACTAAGTATGCAATGAATCACAAGATCCTGTTGCCACATTACACTGGCAAACCCAAGGGAACCAAATCATAGGTTGGATTCTACGACCCACTCGAGTAACTACCTCTCACTGGATCTAAAGGAAGAGGGCAAAAGCTAGTGAGTTACGGATTTCATACTTCAGGTTTGAGGTCAACACTGGTGCAGGATGGTAGCAATGTAGAAACATGACAGCAGAGGTAGTAGTAAAGAAAAAGGTGTAGATGGGTCAGGGATGGGATGAGAATGCAATAGGCTTACTTTTCTCAACAATAAAAATTTGATTAGTATGTATTTTAAGTTCATATCAAAGACATAAAACTATGTGGTATTTCCTTCTCTTTCCACAAAGTCTCAATTATGTCCTTCAAAGCAGCTTTGTCAAAATGGTGGTTTCAAAACGTGTTCCTTTGTCATTGAGCCTGTGTGCCTGGGGAAACCAGGTAAGCTTCCTACTTCCAAAAGTTATCAAGTATGCCTGCCTGTTCAGGGAATGCAGCTGAAACAAGGAAGACAGTGGTGAGTAACTATGAGAGGAGGAGCATGGTTTAACCATGATCACACCAGTCATGGACAGAAATTTGGGCCTTACAAAATACTACTTCTCTTCCTACTCCTGGACCAACCTTACACCATGCTAAATAGACTGAGTGACATAATTAAACAAAATGACCTTGTTGCAAATCTCTCTCCCACACTACCTGAAATTCTATCAATAAAAACTCCTTCAGTTGCCAACCATGGAAATTCCTGGGGGTGACTATGCAAGAGAAAGGAAGCCAAAAAATGTAGCCTAAGAAGAGTGAGTGACTGGATTTATTTTCTTTGCCTTAGTAATAATAAGTGTAAGGTTGGGATTTCATGTGCAAGCCATCAATGGGTAATAACTCTGAAGTATGAGGTTAAGGAAATTCTGCATTTCATTGTGGACTCACTGAATCAAGCTGATTTAATCCTAACACAGAGATTCCCCAAGTTTTAAAAAGAGGAGTTACCTTTTGCTTACCTTACCCTAAATAAATTTACAGTAGGTCAAGGTATTAGTAATGAAGACCCTAAGTTGTAGGGATGAGTCAGGATAAAAGGAGCTTATAACAATGACAGCTGCATTATTCTCATAGTAGAGGCTCAAAATAGGTATGTGTCTCTTTACTAAAATGCCACTTAGATCCACATATATAAACTCATCATCGTAACAAAAGTTACCAGAAAATTAGCATATACTAAACTATGTTTACATGAAAATTTTACAAATGTTTGGATGAATAAAAATACCTGTGCCTTCATATAGTTCTTATCTAAATACCAAGGTATATGTTATTTTAGCAATAACAAGTACAGAAATGAAAACTATCTTCTAAAACACAAAATCCTAACAAATGGGTTCTGAAAGTAGGTGGGTGTTCTCTAAGCTTTTAAATGTACATAAAAAATTGAACATGGAGGAAGATGATAGAAAGATCTACCAGTCCCAGGAGCACCACTAAAGGCATATATATTACAGTTATATTTAAATGTCTGTGACACAAAAATTACCATCTTATTCCTACCCTTGGGTTTATAAACTTAATTTAAGGTCTCCCAAGATTTTTAAAAATCAAAAATCATACCTCTTTGTGTATAAATGAAAAGATAGAGTAAAACATGAGTTAGTTTAACTAATTCCTTGACAATTGCTGAAAAAATCTTGTTTACAAATAGATGACATCAAAGATGTATAAAAAGTGTGCCCCTAGGCTTAGTAAGTCTTAATATAACAATAAACAATTGACACTGGTGTACCCAATGAGTTTCATTATATAAAGCAATGCATAGTTTTTTCACTTAATAGTAAAACAACATTAGATTTAATTAAAACAGTCAAAACAAAAAAAGATATGGTCAATGGTATAGGGATTTAAAGACTGCGGAAGTAACAACATTATTTTACAAACTTAAAAAAAATTTTAGGGGCGCGTGGTGGCTCAGTGGGTTAAAGCCTCTGCCTTCGGCTCAGGTCATGATTCCAGGGTCCTGGGATCGACCCTGCATCGGGCTCTCTGCTCAGCGGGGAGCCTGCTTCCTCCTTTCTCTCCGCCTGCCTCTCTGCCTACTTGTGACCTCTGTCTCTGTCGAATAAATAAATTTTAAAAATCTTAAAAAAAAATTTTAAAGCTACTGCCATGGATTTAAAGTGAATTGCCCTAGGATACAGATTTCCTTTTCCTCTGTTTAGAAAAATACAAAACCTACTTAGTTAAAATAATAGGGGGGGGAAGGGAGATCTCCGGGTATTAGGTAGATGACAGGCTTAGGTAAAAGACAGATTTCATCAGTTTCACTTCTGGAACAGGGTATGGGAACCCTGAAAACAGACAGGGCAAGAGGATCTAGAGCAGAGAGCCCTAAACATCAGACATTCAATTTTCATTCAATCCAGCTTTGTGGTTTGTCACACTTAATAGTATTACATTCTCAATATTTTTCTTTAATTTGGCTTGCTTTTTTTCCCCTTTCAAAATTCACTTTTACTTTACTCTAAAAAATACCATGAAATGTTTGACTTATATTACATTTGACCCCTGAACAATGGGGGGTGGGAGGGGGGGAAAGAGTCACCACCAACCACTCCATGCAGTTGAAAACCCAACTAAAGTTAACTCTATTGGAATTAAAATAAAATTTTAAAAAAGAAGAAAATCCACCTTATACTTCTGGCTAACTACTAATAGCTTACTGTAAAAACTTAACTATTAATAGTCTACTGTTGATCAGAAGGCTTAGTGATAATATAAACAATTAACTCACATTTTGTATGCTATATGTATTCTATATTGTATTCTTAGAATAGGGTGAGCCTAAAAAAGAAAATGTTACTAAGAAAATTATAAAGAAAAAAGACACCTATAGTGTTGTATTTATTTATTGAAAAAAACCCATGTATAAGTGGATCTACAAAGTTCAAAACCATGCTGTTCAAATGTCCACGGTAGTTGTATTTTTTGTTTAAACATATATAGTTATATATCTTACAATTTTAATAGGTATCTTTGTATCACCTAATGGGTATTTTTTGTATCATCCTGCAGACCACACTTGAAAAACCACACTGTTCTACAGAGACAGGCCCAGAAACACACATGGTGATACAGGGCACAGGAGCCAACATAACCAGTAAGAAACTCCTGCGGATGGGAAATGGCTGATAAATACCAATCTTACCTGGAGAAACTTCATGTCTTTTTCTACTTCTATTTGCAGCTAGACAAATGGCTAATTCTAGGCCTAAGAGCAGAGTGGGTTCAAGATGAGTTTGGAACATCTTGCCATGCCAGAAAGTAAGGGAATTCTCAAAAAAATTAAAAAATAAAAGAGGGGCTTGTCACAAGAACTTGAGCCAGCTTACAGGGGTTGATATTTATTAAATTTGGGATATCTGAGCACCAAAATAATTAAGGAATTACAGACCAGCTATTCTCAAATTGTTACAGGGAACTCTGTGGGGTGCCTAGGACCATTTGAAGGGGACCGGGAGGCCAACACTATTTTAATAATAATACTAAGAATGTTATCTGCCCTTGTGGTATATAAATACAATGGAATACTATGCAGCCATCAAAAGAAATTAAATCTTGCCATTTGCAACAATGTGGATAGAACCAGAGGGTATTATGCTGAGTGAAACAGGTCAATCAGAGAAAGACAATTATAATATGAGACCTCTGATATGAGGAAAGGGCAGGGCAGGGGGTTGTGGGGGGTAGGGAAGGAAAAAAATGAAACAAGATGGGACTGGGAGGGAGACAAATCAAAAAAGACTCTTAATCTCTTAAAACAAACTGAGGGTTGCTGGGGGTGGGGGGTAGGGTGGGTGGGTTATGGACATTGGGGAGGGTATGTGCTATGGTGAGTGCTGTGAAGTGTATAAGCCTGACGATTCACAGACCTGTACCCCTGGGGCAAATAATACATTGTATGTTAATTTAAAAAATGTTATTTGCCTTTTCCACTTCCATTCTTTCATGAATGTACAGTGGAGTTTTCAGTCTGCATAGTGTTCCATTGTAGATATATACCACATCTTTATCCATTCATCTGTTGATGGACATCTAGGTTCTTTCCATAGTTTGGCTATTGTGGACATTGCTGCTATAAACATTTGGGTGCATGTTCCCAGTGTAGATAACACTACACTGTTATCTTTAGAGTAAATACCCAGTAGTGGGATTGCTGGTGGGTCATAAGGTAGCTCTATTTTCAACTTCTTGAGGAACCTTCATGATGTTTTCCAGAGTGGCTGCACCAGCTTGCTTTCCCACCAACAGCGTAGGAGTGTTCGCCTTTCTCTGCATCCTCGCCAGCATCTGTCTAAACAAAGCCCTTTCAATAGCTGTGAAAAGTTTAAAGAGATCCTGAGACCAAAATGCTTGAGAACTAAATATGCCACTAGGAGAAAAAAAAAAAAAAAAAAGGAACCCATAAATCTAAACTGCTTAAAGATAGAAATAAATAGAGGGATAAATAAACTGGGGAGATAAAAGGGCTCCTGCTTATTACAATACTGAATA